AACATAATTGAAACCCAAAACACTAACAAAAAAAAGTACCAAAAGACACCATGGTAGCACTGTTTTCTCAGACATGGTACAATGGTAATACCATGTGTTTTTTTTTGTATGTACCATGGTAGAATCCAAGTACCTGGGAATACCATGAAAATAACATGAAATGCAAACATGGAAATCATTCAGTTTGAAGGTGACATATCATGAAAATCAGATTTTTCCAGGTTTTAAGTGCTATAATCAGGTCCCCGGTGCATCTAGCAACCAAGGAAACGTGAAAAAGATAAACCCAGTAACTTTGTTTTGGGAAGCCCTTTTCTGCAAGCGTCTGAGAAAACGAGCGCGTCTGATTTCACTCCCTTGGTGACGTGGCAAAGGGATCTCATTATAATATTACCGCCCCTTAATCTGCAAGTTTACGCCCATGACACCATCATTTTGATTTGCAAGCGACAGCGGTGCGCTAGCTCTAATGCCATGATGAAAGTTTGAGCGAAGCATGCTAACTGTTCTGTGTTTGGCTGCAGCCCCTTAATCTGCACGTTTCCACCCACGGCGCCGTCATTTTGATTTCACACGCGACAACGGTCTAACGCCATGGCGAAAGTTTGAGCAAAACATGCTAACTCTTCTGTCTTTGACTGCACGACGAGCACAGAACACTGTTTAGAGTCCCAGCCTCAGAGGAGACAACAGAGCAGTGGATTTATTGATTTATTTACTGTATATTGCTGCTGCCACACAGATCTAGAATAAACATGCGATTTATTTCCCAGCTGTTTACCTTCACAGACAAATAGGCATTTTCAAAATGGTATAATAAATGATCTGTGGTGTATTTTGAGCTGAAACTTCACAGACACATTCTGGGGACACCAGAGACTTATATTACATATTGTAAAAAGGGGCATAATATGTCTCCTTTAATGGTTATCAAAGTATTCGTCATCAACTGATAAGTGTTTTTTGACGGCTGAAGCCGATATCTTAGAGAAAAAGGTGGCCGAAATATATTATTTCATACTATTTTATTTAGAGATAGTAAATAATACATCCTGCAAAAACTACTAAATTAAAAATAAATAAAAAAATTCATCAATATTTAAAATAAAAAAATTAAAAATTAAAAACTAAGCTAACGTGATATATATATATATATATATATATATTAGGGGTGCGCCGATCCGATATTCAGTATCGGTATCGCTCCGATACTGGCATTTCTGCCGGATCAGGTATCGGTCAGATGAGACCAATCCAAATCCGATATTGTGCGCATACTATTCTGTGTTATTGTTAACCCCCACGAAAGCCACAAAAACATCATAAAGCACCATAAAGGTTTCGTGCACTATATTCCAAGTGTTCTGAAGCCGTTTCACAGTTTAATGTGAGGTACAGTAAACTCTTCTCTCCACTGCGGCTGTCTGTCATCCTCCATTCAGCATTCAAACTGCGCGTCGCGTTCAGTCCCTTTGTGCTTTGAACTTTTCTATGTGGAGCGCTGCGACTCCGTGTTGCTTCAAGCGCATCATTCTGCTCATAAGCTCTTTGTGCCGCTCAGTATTGGAGCCTTTCATGTTATAATACTTTTGCGCAATGAAAGATTGTTAACAGACTTTCTTGTTCTGTCTTATCTATCATATGTTGCTGCCTCATTACTGTGCTATAAATGTAAAAG